CAGTCGTCTGAGATTTCTAGGGCAGCCAGAAAGTGGGCTCAGTGCCGTGACGTAGAGAGGACAGTAATCCAGCAGCTCAAACGAGATGTGAATGTGTTCTTGACTGACACCAATGATCGACCCTGTAAGCCTTCACCGAAAAACCAAACTCACTGCTCGAGAGTCAAGGCGGACCCATAGCAACCTCTCTGTGGGATTCCAAGACTGTCACTGTTTACAGGAGTAGAAAGCCCAGTCTTTCTCCCCCAGAGCTGCTGGTGATTTTGAACTGCTGACCATGCGGATTGCAGCCCAATGTGTAACCACTACCCCACCAGGGCTCCTCTATAAAAAGCTAAAAAAAAATGTAAAGGCCTTCATGAGACAGAAGGAAAGGAGGTTTGAAACCGAAGGGAGCAGCCCAAAAGGAAGGGTCATCCCTTGAACTGATTTCATTCCGACGGATACAGAGCTCACATTGTCCTCATCTTGCCCCGCCCAGGTGAATTTGTCACCCCTTGGTGCCCCCTGTGGGCCAGGTACTGGGTGATGTGCAGCAGCTTCCAGTACTCTCTCACTGCCACCAGTCATCTACAGCGACGCTATCAGGACAGGGCAGACCTGCCCCATGCATTTACAAGACTGCAACTCTTTACGGGAGTGGAAAGCCCCATCTTTCTCCTGAGGAGCAGCTGGTGGTTTTGAACTGCTGACCTTGCAGAATTGCAGCCCAACTGGTAACCACGCTGCCACCAGGGCTCCTAATTCCAGCACCGAGGTCCCACGATTTGTGTGTGACCCACTGAAGTCGCAGCCCACAGCTCCACGCTAGAGAGATAGTCAGGCAATGTCTACAGGTAATCCCAGAAACTGTTCCCTCAACCTCTATGAAGGGGATGGTCCCTGGATGGCTCAAGTGGTTTGCACTTGGCTACTAACCTAAAGGTGGGTGGTTTGAACCCCTCCAGCGGTGATGTGAAACAAAGGTCTGACCGCCCGCATGCTTCTGAAAGACCACAGCCAGGAGGGCCCCAAGGAGCAGGTCTACTCTGCCACATGGAAGCCGCCACAGGTGGAATCTGCCACAGGCGGAATCAATACAATAGCCTCTGGTTTGGCTTTGAGCCTGGATGGCAGGGACACCCAGTCCCCAGTGCTTCCAGGGGCCTCTCAGCACTCCCACTGCTTTCATCGTGCCTTCCGGCTCCTGAGTTTCACTTCCAAATGCCCCTGAAATAAACCACCTCTCCACGCAGGTTTGCAAGCCTCTAGCCTAGAGGCCACCTTCACACAAATGACCAGAGAGGGGCCCTCAGGAGCACACGCCCCCAGCCAGAGGGGAGGCGCCTTGATGTCCTTCCCAAGCCCCGTGTGGTTGAGCCACTCCACCTCCTGGCTCTCCTGTAGAGCTGTTGGGGCCGTTTGAACCACCAAGCGTTAGGTTAGCCACTGGTGCCACTCAGGGACTGCATGTGCTTCCCAGACAGCCGTTGAGTTGTGGGTAGGCTGTTGGGAGACCGTGCTGAGCTGCCGTCTCCTGAGGGGCTGCAGAGAGCTGCGTGTCTCAGGGCGTGTCCCTTCCTGGAGCCACCCACCACCACGGATCAACATGGAGGTGTCAAGGCCTGGCCACGGTTGCCTAAGAAGGACAGTTCTGAGGGGCTATTCTGGGTCCAGAGGCCCCAGGGGTTATTTGAGGCTGCTGTCAGGCCTGCCTGTGACTCAGTTTCTCCCACTGCTTCCCCTGGGCCTTCCCAAGGGCACCCCTTCGTCGCTCCTACGCTAAACTCCGATTCTGATTCTGAGCTGGTTTCCACCTCTCACCATCCGCTCAGGCTGCCACGGCAGACCCATGAGGACAACCTTTCCTCCTGGGCCCCCACTCGGCTGGCGGGGACCTCCCAGAGACAGCCAGAGGAGCAACCCCTCCAGTCCCGAAAGGTCAGTAAGACCCAAAGGAACGTAGTGCTTTTTTCTCTTTGAACAAAGCCCGCTTTCAAGGCCATTGTCTAGCTATGGACTCAGAGGTCAGCTCGGAGCGGTCAGGCTGATAGGAACCCCTTTGTCCTGGATGCCCGCCGCCCGCCCTCCACGGGGTTCCGCCTCTTGGAGCACATACTTGGGAAGCTGCGAGCACACACCATCGAGTGAAGGCCCGAGAACTGAAAGTCAGTAGCTCCACCCTGGGACCCAACGGCCAAATGAAGGCGCGTTTCAGCCAACTTGGGAAAAACTGGAGTTAAAAGATGGTGGGATTTTTCCCCACAGTTCATACAATGGAGGTAGGGTGGTGGGGGGGCCCAAGGCAGGAGTGAGGAGGACCATTCTGGGCCTCTAGGATCCACAGACACCCTCTCAGGCATCCGGGCCCTGCCTCTTGTTTGCACCCTGGCTTGCCCCATAACCCTGGGAGCCGGCGCCCTGGATCACAAAGGGAGCTGTGTTTGCGCCGACCGTCTTATTTCTGCACATTTTACCCTCCAGGCACCGGGCCAAGAGAGCGGGAGACTGAGGCAAGCCCAAATCTGAGCCCGTGCTGCCCTTGCCAGTGGTGACCGGGATCAAAGGCACAGGCCCTTCAGCAAGGGACCCACGTCCAAACAGAGGCTCTGAGAAAGAGCAGGCCTCTCCTCCACCGCCCGCCCGGCCAGGGCTGGAGCCAGTTCTGCCTGGAGTGGGTTCTGGGAGGGCAGGAAGCCAGGGCTTGCCCACCAGGAAGAGGGGCAGGCCTTCCATAAACACCCACCTGCAAGCGCGGGGCTGGATTGTGGCTAGACCAAGCGCATGGGCAAAACCAGGCCGCTGGGCGAGTGATCACATCTCAGCATTGAACGCCTCCAGGGTTTCCAATCAGCAAAGTCGAGCAAACCGCTCTTTCCCTTTCAGCACACATGCAGGCTTGGTGATTTATCGTCGGTGTTTTCAGCCTGGATCCCTTTGCCAAATCATCGTTTCAGCTCTTTAGGCCTTTAAAGGTCTTTCCCAGCTCAGCCAGGGAGGCTGGGTGGTGGCAAGTGTGGGACGCGATCTGTGTGTGTGTGTGTGTGTGTGTGTGTGTGTGTGTGTGTGTGTGTGTGTTGGAGTGAAGAGGAGAGATGGTAGTAAGGAGGGATAGTGAGAATAGGTGGGTGGGCAGCTCCCCACCCCCACCCCACCCCCACACCATGCCAGGCAGCTGGAGGGAGGCTCCCTTAGAGCCTGGAGACCTGGGGCCGCTGTGCCTGCATCTGCCGGGGATACTCCCTACCTTTCTGAGCCTGTGCCACCTTTAGGGGCCACACAGCCTCAGGTGTGCAGAGGTGAAACATCACCACACCTTCGCTTGACACACACACACACACACACACACACCGCCAACTCACATATGTATCTGGTTGATGACAAAGAGCAGACTTTTCGGGACACACCCAGCACGGCCCCTCGGGACTGCAAACTGGCCTTTCCGGAACCCACAGAAGGGGCCAGAAGCCCCGACCATGTCCTACCACAGTGATTCTCAGAGTGAGGCACCCGGGCCAGCAACCTGAACATCCCCTGCACTCACACAGAGACGCCCCAGGATCTGTCTTCTCCCTCCTCGCCTCCCTGAGCTGTTTGCCTGGCCCTCCCCACGTCCCCTTGGGGGCCCAAATCCTCAGGATCCTTTAATGTGCTGCTCCAGTGTGGAAGGGCAGCTCAAAAGAGGAAGGTGCTCAAGGAGACGGATTGGCACAGTGGCTGCGTCCATGAACTCAGGCACAGGGACAACTGTGAGATGGCGCAGCACCGGCAGAGTTTGATTCTGTTGTCCAGAGGGCCGCTATGGGCCAGAGCCGGCTCGATGGCACCTTAACAACAACGAGCCGTGTGCACGTGTTCTCATTTAAAATTCACACATGTACTGCGAGGCGTGCACCTTAGGTTTTGGAAATGGGGAAGCCAAAGCTCAGAAAGGCCCCGTGACTTGCACAGTCCCAGAGGCAAACTCACATCTGGGTCTGTGGGACTCCCCCGTGCATGCTCTCAATCACTTTCTAGGCGCCCCCAGCCCAGACTGAAGGGCTCTCTGGTGGCATAGTGGGTTCTGAATTGGGTTGCTAACCATAAGGTCAGAAGTTCAAACCCACCAGCTGCTCTGGGGGAGAAAGATAAAGTTTTCAGCTGCCCTGAAGATTCACAGCCTTTGAAACCCACAGGGGCAGTTCTACTCTGCCCTGTAGGGTTGGAGTCCACTAGATGGCAATGAGTTTGATCTATTTTTTGGTATCCCAGGCTGGATCTAAACACCCCGCCAAAGATGGTGCCCTCCGGGCCAGTCCCACCCTCACTCCTACCTGGGCTCATTTCCCCAGAACTCTCCCTGCCTTGGCAGCCAGTCTTAAATCTTTTCTCAAAAGGCAAGACCCAGCCCCCCCACCTCCCCTCCCCTCCAAGCAGGGGGTGGAGCCCCACCTCTGGAGCAGGAAGTACCCCTGCCAAGGCCCTCGCCTGCCCTGGCACTTGGCAGAGTCGAGGGCACGCCCCATCTCCTATCACAGCCCCGGGTCCCCAAAGCCTGGGCAGAAGGCTGCAGGGCCCTGCTGCGCGGTGGGGCTGTGGAATTCACCTACTCTGCCGGATCCAGACTGCTTCCGGAGTAGCATCAGGAGGGGCCTGGGTTCAAGTCCTGCCTGTCAGCTTACGGGGTGACTTAAGGTGCTCACGCCTCATCTGGGGGTCTCCGTGTTCCGACTGCTGCAGTGAGGGGCCGGACGGATGCTTCCTGCTCTGGGTCAGTGGATGCCAGATTGCCTTGTGACATTGGATCCCACCTGCTGGGCTGTGGAAATTTGAAATGACAATGGCTCGGTACTGGACGTCCAGCTCGACTTGATTTGTCCCAGGCTGTTGGACCGAGTCCCTCAGGTGCCCTCACGTGGCCTCTCTCCCCGTGCCCACGCACGCAGGGGGTTTCTGTTCCACATAGCTGGGCAGGTTCTGGGGCCCCAGTAGCGCCACAGAGCCAGGCTCCTTATCTGGGACCCAGAGAAATCCAGCCAGTCATGGGGGGCTGCGATGTCTTGATTGACCCCAACATCTCGTTTGTCCCTGAGATCAACACCACGGGCTTCACCGCCTTCTCCATGCCCAGCTGGCAGCTGGCGCTGTGGGCCTCCGCCTACCTGGCCCTGGTGCTGGTGGCTGTGATAGGCAATGCCACGGTCATGTGGATCATCCTGGCCCACCGGAGGATGCGCACGGTCACCAACTACTTCATCGTTAACCTCGCCCTGGCAGACCTCTGCATGGCCGCCTTCAACACCGCCTTCAACTTCGTCTATGCCAGCCACAACATCTGGTACTTTGGTCGCGCCTTCTGCTACTTCCAGAACCTTTTCCCCATCATGGCCATGTTCGCCAGCATCTATTCTATGACGGCCATCACCGCCGACAGGCAAGAAAGGGGCGGTGGGGCTTTGCTGGGGGCTCAGGAGGGCAGGGTGGGGTGGGAGGAGTTGCCTGTGATGGCACAGCAAGGCAGACCCCAAAGCAAGGCCTCCCACGTTTGGTAATGATCCAAATTCTCGGGAAGACGGTGGTCAGTGGAACTGAAGCATGCAGGCTTGAGGTTAGACCAAGGAAGAACTTTCACGTCAAGCTGCGGGAGGAGGGAGGTCATGTCTGGGGACGTTCTGGAATGTTCTTCTGTGGGTTGGTCTTTAATCTGATGTCTTTCTCTTACAACAAGGGAATTACTTGTACTCTTCCCCTGTCCCAGGGAGAGTGTCCTAGGGAGCACATTACTCCTATATTCAATCAACAGATCGTGCTGTTAGAGAAAGGAGTGATTCACCACACCTGTCTTCTGAGGTGCCTCTGGGTGGACTGGAATCGCCCACCTTTCCGAGCTTCACTGTTCCTGCCACCCACCCAGGGACCAGGAACATATATGAAGCATAGCTCGGCCCAGCACAGAGCCGGTCTGACTGTCCCTGACAGTAGGGCTGACTATTGTTCTTTTCTGAGGAGCTCTGTTAGGGTAGTGGTTACACACTGGGCTGCTAACGGCAAGGTTAACAGTTTGAAACCACCAGCAGCTCCAAGGGAGAAAGAAGGGGCCTTCTACTCCTGTGAAGAGTTACAGTCCTGGGAACTCACAGGGGCAGTTCTACCCTGCCCCATAGGGTCACTATCAGCCGGCATCCACTCTATGGCAGAGTTAGAATCCTTTGGGGGGGGTCTTGTTTCTGCTGGGCTGCTAATGGCAAGGTTGGCAGTTCAAACCCACCACAGCCCCAAGGGAGTAAGAAAAGCTGTCTACTCCTGTAAAGATTGACAGCCCGGGAGCCCTAGGTGTAGTCGAGAGGGCTCCCACGGCAGTGGCCTTTGCTATTGTTCTGTGAGGCTCTCAGGGGCTGCAGACGTTGACCTCTCCTGAGGAGAGCCAGGGCCAGGGGTGGCACAGTTACCCTCAGAGATCTCTGGAGTCCTTTTAAAGCAGTTTGGAGAGGGCATAGCCCAGGGTGGCTATGGAAAGGCATCTCGGCGTCCTTGGTCAGAGCAGCTGAGGGGATATGGCTCTGATAGACAGTCTATGGCACAAAGAAAAACCACACCTCCACTCTGGAGGGAGCCAAGGTCCCACAGAGGGACAGAGGCAGGCCCCTGCATCTGGGGGGGAGGGTTACTTTGGGTCCCTTGTCACTCGGGAGTGCTCTCTTCTTCAGCCAAGGTCTTATAGACCCATGAGGTCTCAGACCCACCAGTCCCCAGGACAGGCCTCCAGGGGCTTCCTGGGTCTCAAGCACAGAGGGAGCCCAATCGACAGTACCTGGTAGCAGACAGCTGCAGCCTGTCTGGGTGCCAAACCAGCTCTGCCTCTCCCAAGTTGGCTTGGTTCATGCCTCTAAGCCTCCATTTCCTGATGCGGAAAAGGGAGACAACCAATCCAGTCTGAGATATCGTGGTGGCAGCTCCTGTACCTTGCCAGGCACGAGGGCAGATGAACTCCCATGCTGGTTTTCCTGGAGAATGGTGGGAGCCGAGGAGCCGGCTGCTAGCTGGCCTCACCCAAGCCAACCAAGCGTGTGTCCCAGGGGGTTTCCGGGGCTGAGTTCTCCCCAGGAGACCACTAGGCTTGTCTTCTGAGGTGCAACAGGGTAGATTCAGACCTCCAGCCTGTTGGTTAGCAGCGAGTGTATCAACCATTTGCCCCAGCCTGGGGCTCTGACTTCATGAGGGGGATCATTCACTTGGGCTTGAATGCCAGGTTTAAAGTTGGGGGCCGATGCCCAAGCCACCAGCCGTAGGCGCCCACTGACCCTTAAACTAGTTAAAATGGAAATGTCCACTCCTCGGAGGCACTGGTTACATTTCCACGGGAGAGCACAAAGGTAGCGTGTTTTCACTCGTAGACTGTGGGCTCTGCTAAGGTTTCTGGACAAGAGAAGGACTGTCCTAGGGCCGAGGGGCTTGGGAAGGACTGAGCTTCAGGCTAAAGCTGGACACCGAGTCCTGCTCCCGAGGCCGCTCCACTGGTCTGTGGCCACCTGAGGGCATGCCCATGCTCAGAGGGAGGTGGCACGGTGGCGGCTCGGTGACCCCTGACTTGCCGGGTGGCAGGGAGAGCTACAGCTCAGCTGGTACTCCTTGGGTTCCATGAGGACATCATGTCTGCAGGCACCTGGCAGTGGTACTGAGAAGGACATGCTGAGATGGAGGGAGGGGGGTGGTTCGGTGGGGGCAGAGGGAGGATGAAAGGGGTGGTCAAGGAAGGTGTACCCACCACTCACTCCACCCTCTGCTCACAGGTACATGGCCATCGTCCACCCCTTCCAGCCCCGGCTCTCGGGCCCTGGCACCCAAATGGTGATTGCTGGCATCTGGCTGGTGGCTCTGGCGCTTGCCTCCCCCCAGTGCTTCTACTCCACCATCACCGTGATGCAGGGGGCCACCAAGTGTGTGGTGGCCTGGCCCGGAGACCCCGGAGGCATGACGCGTCTCCTGTAAGGCTTCTGGGCTGGCGTGGGGGGAGATGATGAATGTGTGTGCACCCCTGAGAATGAACATGCGTGTCTGTGTGTGCCGGCACACGCATGCATAAGTGGCTAGTGGGATGCACACGGGCATGTGAGCGTGTGTGATTCCCAAAGCCAAACCCAGAGCCAGTGAGTGAGTTCCAGCACACAGTAGCCTTTGAGGATGACAGACCCGTTACCGGACAGAGTGGAGCTAGCCTCGGGATCTAGTGGCTTAGTGGGTTACGCGTTGGGCTGCTAACTGCAAAGCCAGCCGTTCCAAACCACCAGCCCATCCGAGGGAGAAAGGCGAGACTTTCCACCCCTGTAAAAAGTTACAGTTTAGGAAACCCACAGGGGCAGTGCTACCCTGTGCTGTAGGACTGCTATGAGAAATCAACTTGATGCCAGTGGGTTTGTGTTTGGGGTATTTTTTGGTTTTTTGGGGGGGTGGCTGGTGGCAGAGTGGGGGGAGGGTTTGAAATCTTTACAGGAACGGAAAGCCTCATCTTTCTCCTGAGGAGGGGTTGGTAGATTCGAACTGCTGACCTTGTGGTTTAGCAGCCCCACACAAAACCTAATACATCACTAGGGCTCCTTGGATATGCTATTAGGGATATGCATATATGTGTGTGTATATAGATATATATACACTGAAAAATAACATTTACATAGCACTTAGTATGTACTGGGGCCTGTTCTAAACACTTTACACATAATAACGGATTGGATTCTCTAAACAATCAATGGGGTATTTCCTATTATCATTCACATTTTTTAATGAGGAAACTGAGTCACCAAAAATCTAAACACCGTGCCCAAGGCCACGTGGCTAGTGAGGTGGGATTCAAATCTGGCCAGTCCTGCTCTAGGGCCCAGTCTCCTGATGCTCTGCTCCTTAAGTAAGGATCCGGGTGTCCTCAAATGAGACAGGTTCATGTGTGCACATCATCTGTGAGTCTAAGTGGGGGCCGCATGCACGTGGGTATGTGTGGTATACCCATGCAGGTCGATGGGTAAGGTTGCAGATGTGGGTGCGTGCACATGGGCTGGGAATGTGTGTCTTGGGGAGGGTGGTTTATATGCTCAGGAGGACTAAGGAGATAGAAGCAGAGAGGGCCGATTCGGAGCCTGGAATGTTTTCCTTAAATTCCTGGTGCCTTCTTCATGTGAAGGTGGGCAGCATGGTTTGGGGGACAGGGTAGGAGTGTGGGAAAGAACTTAGGTATGGCTCAGTGCTGTGTGACCCTGGGGAAGCCCTGTCCCCAGTCTCTAAAATGGCGATTCGTAACAGTACTTTGTGAGTATAAATGGGAACATGAACACCAGGCCTTTAGCACGGTGCCTGGCACAGAACAGGTACCTGTATGTGGCACTTGGAAGAGGAGTCCAACAAAAACAAACCTGAAACAGCCAACAGTCTCAGTCATCCCAGCTGCGAAGATGTGGGGTGCTGAGCTGAGGGCTGCCGGGTAACCATGGCAGCACAGTCTCCCTTCAAGCCCGCCTTTTACAATACCCCCACTGCCACACTCACCCCTGCCTGGCCCCATCTGCTCCCAGGCCTGCCACAAGAACACCACTTGGTGGCCTTCACTGCTGGGGAAGGTGCCAGGACAGGGGGTGGGGCAGACCCTTTCTGGAATCTCTATTTCCACCACAAACCCTACCCTCTCAGAAGGGCCCACACCCCCAAAGGACATTTACACACAGGGGACGAACCCGACTCTTTTGGCTCAAGGGTGGGTGAGTGGAATATTCTGGAACAGACTACTGTGGGGCGGTGTTGTTTCTCTCCTTGAACACAAGTTTTTGTTCCTAAGCTGGGGACTGTAAATAGTAAGAGTTCTGGTGGGGTAGAGGGCTACACATTAGTCTGCGTCCGGCTAGGTTGTCTAGAGTAACAAAACCAGGGACATGCACATGTGTACAAGAAAGAGCCCTATATCAGGAAGGCGTCCCAGCCCAGTTCAACTCAATCCACGGCTCGGATGCCATCGGAGTCCTCCTCAGATTCATTTCGCTGCAGCTGAAGAGGCAGGAAGCAGTGAGCTCTCAGGGCCTGCAAAGTTGCATGCATCTGGATCGAGGGTCTGGGGGAACATGGCAGGGCCAACAACTCCCAGGGTTGGTGGCTCACATGGGGCCCCCTGAAGGCAGATCTAGAATCCAAGCAAGGAAGAAGGCAAGAGAGAGAGAAAGAGATTCCTAGGGTCACTCTTATAAAAACACCACACCCCAAGGTGGCTTCCTCATGAGGTGACCTGATGGATAGGTTGGATTCTACCCATACACGTTCATCCAGGTACAAGTTGACATAAAATCTAACCCCTGCCGGCTGCTCACTGTAAGGTCAGCCGTTCAAACCCACCAGCTGCTTTAAGGGAGAAACATACATTTCTACATAGCTTTCTACTCCCTTAAAAACTCACAGCCCCCAAGCCCAGAGACGCGGCCCTACCCGGTCCTACCGGGGCTGTGATCGGCATCGATTTGACAGCACTGAGCTCTACTGGTTTGGTTTCATGCCAGCTCTCTGGGGATTGCGAGTTCTGTACCTCCCCTCATTCAGGCAACCAGAGGGCAGCGGTGGACAACGAACTCTGAGCGAGGATTTTCAGGAAGCTTGGCTTTCTGTGTGAGAAGGTGTTGTCTTCTTTGGTGGGGAGCTTCCAGTGGGAATTCCCTAAGGGATTCTATCCTTACAGACCTGTGTGCTGATGTGTGTGTGTGTGGGGGTGGGGGTGGTAGCGGTGGTGGTGATTCGATGAATTTACAGCTGCCTTCTCCAGCCCCCAAACCAAAATAGAAGGACAATCTAGACTTGGAGGAAAGGCAGCCCTAAGTTTAGCAGGTGCAAGACTATGGTCCTCAAGGCTCTGAGGTCCCTCCTGCCTGTAAGGGCTCAGAGTGGATGGATTCCTGCCCTGTTACCGTGTCGCTAGGAAAGGAGGAGGCAACTGGTGACACTTGGGAAGGACGTCAGAGCTTCTCTCCTTTACATATGGGGAGACTTGACGGGCCCAACTTCTCACTTTAAACCGCAGGCTTACGCCCTGTAAAAAGGTCGCCGTGTCATTAGAACCATCTCGGTTCAGGGAGGATGATGAGAACCAAGATCTGATCAAGGTCATTGCTATGAGGTGGAGTGCAGACCCACCACCCTACCCCCACCCCCAACCTTTGGTCCAATTCTGACGCCGGCCCACAGCATCCTCCATTTCTCTGCTGGGTTGGATCCTCTGTGAAATGGCCACAGGGGACTCGCAGACCACACTTAGGATTCGCAGGTCTATTAAGGAAGTAGCAGGCCGCAATTCGGGATCAGACCTGGGTCGAGATCAGCCGGCAGGCGGGGGAGTCTGGGGGGCTTTCTCCGAGTGCACCCCCTTCCTTTTGGGGCCAGGGCAGCGCGAGAGCAGCTCCTCCCTGCCCGGCAAGCACCAAGGCCCAGGGTGGGGCCTCAGGGCCCAGTCCAGAAAGCCTGGACCCTGGACAAGGGCGACCACGAATGCGGGAGGGTGTGGGGGCTGCCCCACGAGCCGCCCGGTGCCCAGAGCCTGGCTCTCTTTCCAGGTATCACCTCGCGGTGATCGTCCTCATCTACTTCCTGCCCCTGGGGGTGATGTTCGTCGCGTACAGCATCATCGTCCTCACCCTCTGGAGGCGGGCCGTCCCTGGGCATCAGGCGGACGGCGCCCACCTGCGCCACCTGCAAGCCAAGAAGAAGGTGAGCATGGGGGTGAGGCGGGGCGGGGCGGGGCCTGGCCGAGAGAATCCACTCTTAAAAACGGTTTTATTGACAGATGACTCACGGATCATTCAATTCAAAGGCTTGCGTATATCAAAAAGGTGCGCACTCATCGCCACAATCAATTTTAGAACATTTTCTTCACTTCTGTACTTAGCTCGCTGTGAGACCACTAATCTAGTGACTGTCTCTATAGATTTACCTAGCCTGGATTTCATATCAATCAAGAAAATCGTACAAACCAAATAACCGACCAGACAAAAAACTCCAACAACCACGACAGAATAAGTCAGAGGAAAGCCTCAATCTAAATGAAAGAGGAAATAATAAAAGCTAGAACAGATGAAAAATGGGCCAGCAGGTGGGGGGTAGTGATGTTAAACTTGAACTTAAATAGCTCTGCACTCACTCACTCTCTGATGCACTCTGAGGGCAGAGCTACTTCCAGCCCCGGTCAAGGGTCCCAGGGAATTCTACAGAATCCACCCTGAACTTGCCCTTGCCTCTACCCTGGGGCCAATTTGCTCTTGGTCTTGGGCCAAATACAAAGTGAGAGGAACTTCCCGTATCTTAGGAACGTCGGGGAATCCTAGAGCTTCCCAGAACCCCAGCTACTTCCCCAAACCTTACCACGCTGGAATCTTCAAACCGCGGATGTGCTGAAGCACCTAGAGTCGCAGGAGTCTCCTAGCTGTGGCTGTGTGTGGGTGTCCTCGGCTGCTGGAAGTGCCATCCTTATGGATCCTGGGGACCGGCCTGTGATCTGGCCTCCTCCCAGGCTGACTCCCATGCCCATCCAAGTGCCAGTGTCCTCTCTTCCCTGCCACCCAGCGCCCCCATCCAGACCCCCTCCACCTTCTCCTAATCAAAGCTCAGCCTTTCTGGGCCCCCCCTTCCTGCTCAGTGACTGATGGAAGCATTGGGCGCCTCACATCATGTACCCAGGTAAAGCCATGGCATCCCACCTGGTGTCGGGCATTTGTCACAGGGTGGCACAGGCAAGTCGTTGGGCAGGGACCCTCTTGAGTGGCCCTCCTCATGGAGAGGCTCTCTGGTTCACGACCCATCCCTCAGAGGGGACAGGGCTAGGCGGAGGTGTGTGTGTGTCTACAAAGACAAGGCTGGGAGCAGGGGGAGGCTGGGACAGACTCGTGGGTGGGGCCGGGAGAGGTGGAGGTGTCCCTGCTTGAAGCAGCCTCGTTGCTGGTGGCTGGAAAGCTGAAGCAGACCCAGATCCCAGAGAGAGGGTCTCTTGGTGATCCAGAGAGGCTCTCTTGAGGAAAGGGTGAGATGGACAGCTCAGCCTCTCTCCAGGGAAACCTTCTAGAGCCGGCAGCAACCGGTGGCAGGTGCGGCGGGGCGGGGCTTTGAAGAACTCGGACTTCCAACCAAACTCACCGTCATCCAGCCAATTCCAGCGCATAGTGAGTCTACAGGACAGAGTAGGGTTGCCCCTGGGGGTTTCCAAGAGGAAAGCTCTACAGGAGTAGAATGCTTCATCTTGCTCCCATGGAGCAGCTGTGGTTTCGAACTGCTGACCTTGCAGTCAGCAGTCCACTGTGCGACCACTAATACAATCCAAGGGCTCCTTAAGGACTTCAGAAATGGACATCCCTTGTGACTCAACCGTGGGGGTGGGGTGCAGAGGGAATGCCCTCAGATGGACATGGTGGTGATTGTACAATCCCTCCTGGATATATGTTTGAACGATTGAACTATTTCATTCTAGGGCATGCAAATTATGTGCCCATAAAACTGTTGGGGGACAAACAGACAATCCCTTTAAGGAAGAAAGCCTTCAGCGGAAAGGGCAGTGTGGGCGACCATCCCAGCCTGTGCCGAGGCCCCGAGGCTCCGAGCATCTGGGCAGCAGATGTCCCAGGAAACTCAGGTCACAGCGGTAGAAGAGGCCTAATAGGTTGGGCTGGCCTGAGGGCAGCCCGTTCTTTCCCTTGGGAGAGCTGGGGGGCTTGGGCATCAGGCTGCGCAGTCACCATAACGGAGACTCTTCCGGGACAGATTGTGAAGACCATGGTGCTGGTGGTGGTGACCTTTGCCGTCTGCTGGCTGCCCTACCACCTCTACTTCATCCTGGGCACTTTCCAGGAGGACATCTACTGCCACAAATTCATCCAGCAGGTCTACCTGGCCCTCTTCTGGCTGGCTATGAGCTCCACCATGTACAATCCCATCATTTATTGCTGCCTCAACCAAAGGTGAGCCCCTCCCCCTCGGGGTTCCCTCCTCTCAGTCCTTAGGACTCCCAGGTCCCCAAACAGCTTAAACAGCCACCCGGTTTCAATCCTCCACCCTTTGCTCCACCTCACCCCAAGTTGGGGGTGCCGTCCTCACAGTCCAGTCCACACCACAATCCCCCCTCTTGTGGGGGTCTCACCTCCTCCCTGAAGCCTTGTCCCGCTCCCCAGGTCACAGCTAGTCCTGCCTTGTCTGTCCTCTCTCTGGGGGGCCTGTCTGAGAGAAGGGGAAGGAGGGGGAGGCAGAGATGGGGACAAGCCAAAAGCAGACCGAAAGAAAACAGAAAGTGAGAAGTGAGGGATTCTGTCCTGACTTTATATTCCTTTGCTTAATTATTTTAAAAATATATTTCATTATTTTTAGCAATTTAAGCTTTACATAGGAATTGTGCAGAAGGTACGAAGAATTTCCGAATGCCTCCTCCTCTCCTGCCCTGCCTCGGCTTTTCCTGTTATCAACATCTTGCTTTTGTCTGGTACATGCTACACTCTAAAAACCAAATTTCCTGACATCCAGTCAATGCCAACTCATAGTGACCTTATAGGACAGGGTAGACCTGTCCCTGTGAGTTCCCAAGACTGGAACTCTTTAGGGAAGGACAAAGCCTCTTCTTTCTCCTGTGAAGCAGTTGATAGTTTCAAACTGCTGGCCTTGTGACCACCCCGCTGCCAGGGCTCCTTCACATTGCACGGCAGTACAATCATCCAAAGAAGCCACCTGTCAAGTCAGGGAGGAACCTGACACACACACACATTGCTAAGTGGAAGAATCCAGTCTACCTACTGAATGATTTCAGCTGTATAATTTGGGGGCAAAGTCAAAACGAGAGAGGGGGTAAGGGGATCGGTGCTGGGGGATATGGATGCATTTTTAGGGCAGTGAAACTTCTGCATGGTAGTGTCATGATAGATGCATGGCATCCTGCATGTGCTGGAACCTGTGTTGTAGTCGTGAGGGACTGCTGCCACTATTTGTCTTCCAGAGGCCCCATGGGACATAGTAGTCAGGCCCCATAGGGTTTTCTAGGCTGTGATCTTTACAGGATGGGCGCTGTTGGCATAATAAGCTACGGGGTAAGCAGTTCGAATCTATCAGCCAACCTGTGGGGCAGAGATGAGACGGTCTCTCAGTCTTTACGGGAGTGGATTGCCACATCTTTCTTCTATGGAGCATGGGTAGATTTGAAATGCCAACCTCTCAGTCAGCGGCCAATGGCATGACCATTGAACGGCCAGGGTTCCCTGTTGAACCCTGATGTCAACGAGGGGATTTGGGGTTCATCTCGACATCTGTTCTCAGCTGTAACACTTGTCCCCCACACACTTCCTCCGGCTACGGCAGTAGAGAAGCACAGAGACCTTTCTGGAGCACAGTGGACAGCACCCAGCCCACAGCAACCCGCCTTCACAGGAAGCGGGGCCAGGACCCGAGGGGCCGCTCCCCCCACCGGCCAAAGGCACGGTGCATTTCCCACCCTGCAGGGGCTTGCGGGTGGCAGAGGCAGTGGGGACTTCTGGTTCTCCTGGCCCTTGTCCTCCTGGGTCGGTGGGCAGACCCTTCGCAGGAGCACGTGGAGAGGTGTAGGCTGCTCCAGCACCCAGAGGTTCCGCTTGCCGAGCAGGACTTTATCAGCCTTGGAAAAGCAGGCGGGAGATGAAAGGAGGGCACCGGGACTGGGACCCAGGCAGACTGATGTGGGTGAGGTCGGTCCAGGACCTCTACTTCTTTCTTTCCTTCCGTCTCTTCCCCACCCTGGTGCCCAGACCATTCAGAAGGCCAGGAGGAAGAGCTTCCTGAGTGGGACAGAGGGGTGAGAAGCTGGGTTTGCCAAGTTGACTGTGGGGCAGGGTACGCGCCACCTAGCGCCACACCGTGGAAACCTGTGGAACTGCAAGGAGAGGAACACCCCACCCACCCACCACCAAAAAAAAAAAGAAAGCCTGGTTTTCTGGAACAAGGAACAGACATGGGGTCTGTCTCTCCTGGCTGTTGGACAGGCGCCCGTTCACTTTCTCATAGCAGTAGTGTTGGTACCTTCATTGTCGGTTCCTTGAGTCCAGTTTACACAGGGGCCTTTTGTACGGCCACGACAGGCGAGCTGGGTATTTTTTAAGCAAATGCTCCCAAACTCAGTGGTCCCACGTGTTATTTTTCAAAGCAGTCTCCTTGTGCGTGTGCGTATTCTACCCATGCTGCCAAACCCACAATTCCTAAGTGCTCTGACTACTCCTTTAGAAGCCAGTTACAAGGCAATGAAGGACATCTGCCTGTTCCTCATACTTGGGCCTTATGTTCTGTGATAACCAACGGTCTACATCCGCTTCAGTAGGCCGTCTGAGCTCCAGACGACAGATGGCAGGCTCAGAAAAATCAGATCTCTACTGGAGGCAATGGGGGCTCTGGGGCATGAGACAGCAGCTTGCGCTGCAGGGAAATGGCACCGACGGGTGGGAGCAGCCCTTGTAACCAGGCCTCCCCTCTGCCCCTCCCCCCTCCCCCAGGTTCCGCTCTGGATTCCGGCTTGCTTTCCGCTGGTGCCCATGGGTCACGCCAACGGAGGAAGATAAGCTGGAGCTGACTCACACGCGGTCCCTCTCCATGCGGGTCAACAGGTGTCACACAAAGGAGACTTTGTTCATGGCCCCTTCTGATGCTACTAATGGGCAGGCTGGGGGTGGCCAAGACGAGGTGCCCACGGAACTCTGAAACCTGGGTTGGGTCGAAGAGCGAGGCTGATGGAGATGGGAGATGGAGCGCTGAAGGTGACCGGTCCCCTACCCTTTAATAAACCAAACCGAACCAAACGCCTGCCATCGAGTTCAGGCCGACTCAGACAGACCCTAAACTGCCCCGAGTTTCCTGGACTGTAGCTGTTGAGTAGAAAACATGTCTTTTTACCGCTGAGTGGCTGCCTTGAACAGCTAACCTTGCGGACGGCATCGTAACCACTATACCAAGAGATCACCCTTTAATACACCAACGGAAAAACAAGATGGGACCAAGAACCACGCAGAGAATGCTGACTGAAGGGCCCAGCCACCGATCCCAGAGTGCGTCAGGGATCTAGGTCAAAGACAGTATGGGCTAGCTTTTCCCTCATCCAGCTGCGCAGGCACAAGCGCTTTCCTGAGGTCAGGTTTACAGCATCCATGTGTGAATTGGAACAACTATAAAAGAAAAACTACCCATGTGATGATAAAAAGCAACTAACTCCTGGCCTCAATGTTGGGGCACTAAGGCACGGTGGGGACTGTGGCAAACTAGCAAGAACCGGCATGCAAGGAGGACCGGAGCTACTCAGCTCTGGGCAATTGTTCGAGTTATCATAAACGGAGTTCACTGTTGCCAAATCTTTTCACGGTTCAAAGGAAGCCAGCAGTCCAAACCTTTAGATTTAGGGGAAGAGGTGGCTTACATTTTCATAAACTTTGGGTCAGCCGAGAAAATACATTTGTGAGCGATGCTGATAAATGATCAAGCTAAAGTAAAGCTGTCAAGAGGAAACATGTTTTTTGGTAAAGCCCTTTCGTTGGCTGTGGGTTGTCCAGGGCTTCTTTGTGTCTGCATCTAAAAGCCCCACAGTGGTTAGGAAGCAAAATGAACTAGCCCTGAGTCCCAGCTGTGTTGTTGCAAGAAAGACACCCTGAACCTCCACCTCTTCCTCTGCCCAAAGGTAAAACTACCTTACAGAGATGCTGCAGGGAACCATGGAGGTGACCATGTCTGTAAAGCAGGCCAGACACAGATGAAGTGCTCAATGACAGTGGCCATGACCTTTGGTTTCCATGACTCCCTTTCTTTACCTTACTCGGAAGGAAGCTCCCTGCAAGTCGGCACTACAGCTCCTGCCCTCAATTCCTCAGCATGAAGGTGGCAGCTGGAGGACACCAACGGTCCCAACTCCCACCAAGCTCTGGGTCTGGCCCAGCCCACCCCATGGGTGCACCTCTCCCTGCCTAACCACTTATCATCCCCTCCTGGGGACGCCCCTCCCGAACAACCACGTGACCCTGGACACGCACAGCAGAAGCATGTAATGTTATCTGTGTTCACCGTGCCGGAGACACCATCCCTGCCAGGCCCCCAAATAAAGAGACTCCAATGTCACCCAGCTGAGGGGGCCTGCCTTGGGTTCCGGGGAGCCCCGGGAGCAGTCAGCACAACTTGGGAGAGCCCCCCCCCCCGGACCTCACCTCCAGCAGGGGGCGCCAAGAGGCTGGCCACGTGGGACCCACCACAGGGCCGGGGAGAAGGCACAATGGCAGCCACGGGTGGCCCAGTGCGGGGCAGGTAAGGATGAGTTTCCTGTGGCCGGCGTTCATTTAAGACCAGCGAGGGCAGGTGCAGGGGGCTGGGTGCTCCAGCACGTCCCCTGGGCCGGGCCTGAGGGCCCATTTAACGTGGGCTCTGAAAGGGCAGCGTCTGCTGAGTGCGCCGGTGGGGACCCAGTCCGCCTGGAAGCCAAGCTGAGCTTTTTTGCTTGGGCTGCAAGTAAGGGTGCAGGGCCGGGGAGACGTGCGAGGCCCTCTTGAAGGTGCCCAGGTGGGGCTGCAGGCGCCCCCCGAGGGAGGGCTCGGTGCTGGAGCGGGACACAAGGGGGCACAAGATGCGTCGCTGGTGTCCCCGGGGAGGGGCCTGAAGGCCCCCCGTCTTCATCCGAACCCTCCCCGCCACCCCGTGTCCCGCCTCCCACTGTCCCCGCCAGGAAGCGCGACTCGGGCCTGGAGTTGGTACAAAGTTTACTAGGTCACACAACATGGCTCACAAAAGCGATGGCGATTCCAGTGACGACACTGTTGGTTGCTTGGTTCTTTTTACCCAAATGAAGACGAGACATTGCCCACACGATTGCCACCCCCCCACCCCGCCCCCACGGGACAAACAGGGTGCAGGACGTCGCGGTGACTGGCGCGGCCCCGCTGCGTGCACAGGAGCCCGGCAGAGCTGCTGGTGACGGTGCACTGCACGCTGGGGAGGGGTCCCGGGCTCGGGCGTCAGCAGCATCCCCGCGGCCCGGCCGAGGACGTGGCTTTGCATCAACAGCTCCGTCGGGCAGATGCGTCACTAGGCTTTGCACGCGGGGAACGCACGACCCGGTGGAAATCAACTCATGCAGTGGCGGGGCGGGTGAGGGATTACCAACAGCACACACGCTAACTTGTATCCTACTGTAGACGCCATGAGTTGGGTTCTGTGTCCCTCCGGCTGCGCGGTGGCAGCTCTGGCGCCCGCGCCCCCCAGCTCGGCTCGCTGGGAGGGACGGGGGAGGGGGCGCCCCTGCAAGAGATGAGCGCCGGAGGGGCGGCAGGCGGGCTCCCGGGCGCTCAGTTGCTCATGGGGGTTTCTCCTCGGAGCCGCACGCCCACGGCCGTGATGAGCGCGGCGCCCTTGCCACTGCCGTCTTCGGAGAGCAGGAAGGACACGTTGCACTGTGGTGCCAGTTCCTTCACCGTTTGGTGCATGATTTTGGAGAAGCTGGAAAAGGTAAACACACACACGTAGGGGAAGGGGAGGGGAGGAAGGTGAGACGACCACCTGACTGCTCATGCGCCAGGACTATAAAAGAGGCTAGGAGAAGGGTGGGCCCACTGGAGCGCGGTTTGCGGCCATGGCTGAGGATTCGTATGTAGTCAGGCACTGTTCTCAGCAGGGAGGCACAATTGAAAAACCAAGGGCAAGTTATTACAAAGAAAGAGTTTATCAGCCGGCCACTCAGGCACACCCATCCTCAGAGCGTGGGTTTTCTCAACAAAAAAAAAAAAAAAAGAGGAGCTATGATGTCAATATCAACTCATATATGGCAGAGTAGAGCAATTCCATAGGATTTCTGAGCCTGTAAATCGTTACCTGAGCAAAAAGCCTCAACTTTTCCAAGAGGAGCTGCCGGTGGCTTCAAACTGCTGACCTTTCCATTAGCAGCCCATCGAGACATCTACTGTGTCACTGGGGCTCCCTAAACTGCCCCCCCCCCCAAACGCACTGCCGCCGAGTTGATTCCAACGCATAGCGACCCCAGGGCAAAGTAGAACTGTCCCGTGGGACCCGAGGCTGTAACTCTTCACAGGACAGTTATAAAGCCTCATTTTTCTCCCACAGAGTGGCTGGTGGTTTCGAACTACTAACTTGATGGTTAGTCCCCACACTACACCACCAGAGCTCCTCAGGGCTCACTATGGGAGCTGAACACACAGCTGGGCCCTAGGTCCTGGGTCCTGGGCCGCTGGTATCCAGCTCCTGGGCCAGTCAGGAGGCTACATGTGAACGAACACACTCCATTCCGCCCCCTTCAACACCGCCCCCCCCCCCACCCAGGGCAGGACAATGCTAATAAGAAGTGACAAGTGACACTATGCACTGGCACTGTACAATTAAGACATTGAAAGGGCACAGCAGAGATTCTCAGGGAGATGAGGATCGAGGAGGTTTAACAGCCATTTACTGAGGTGCCCTATGACAAGAGCCCGAGTGGCGTAGAGGGTTACGAGTTGGGCTGCGAACTGCCAGGCCAGCAGTTTGAAACCATCAGCTGCTCCGCAGGAGAAAGAGAAGGCGCTCCACTCCCATAATGCGTTATAGTCTCAGGAACCCACAGGGACAGGGCTCCTTTGTTCGGCAGGACCTGCCTGGTGGGAGTGAGTTTGGCTTTCTGAGGCGCTCTGTACATGATGTACATACACTTCAGGGACCACCAGCACCCCTGTGAGAGATGAGGCGGTGAGGCTCTGCTGAGATCAAGCAGTGCCTGATGGTGCTGGGATGAGAGCCGAGACTATCCCATACGCTGCCTCAGGAGGGTGAGGGCGACGGGCGACTGAGGTGGACAGACAGGCAGGGAAGGAGCAGGATGGTCCCCTACCAAAGCATGGCCGAGATAGCAAGTGTCGTCTTATATTGAGTTGGGTGAAGCGGCTTGTCAAGAGGGTGCCATTTGGCCCTGCTTGCCTGAGATGGTTCCAGATGGCCTCTGCCCCCAGGCAGAGATGAGGAGTAGCCCTCTCCTTGGCACAAGCACCCCCGTTTGGGAAAGAAGGTGTATGGTCTCTCAACAGCTCAGAGCCATGCTTTGGGACATGCGGCAGATCAAAGAGTGTGTGTCCTTCTCTGGTATGGCGTGTGGGACAACCTTAGCCGCTGGCATCTAGGCGCCTGTGGGTACTTCCTACCCTTTACCTGCCCTTCCACGTCTAGACAACAGCCACAGCCCAATGCGGCCTCCTTCTGCCTCGGTCACCCCCTCTCCCACTAACCAAGCACAGACTTCAGCCAAGCTGCAGCTAGCCCGGCCCACCCACGACCCCCTCCCTCCCTGTGCCTATGGCCCTATGCCCAGCCCGGACCAATTGACCTATGAGGGTCCACCCAGAAGGACCGGGAAGAGGGGTCACCTCCACTGCCAGGGAAGCTGCTTCTCTTACCCAAACCATGAAGCCACTTACTGTGGATGAAGCTTGAAGAGGGTCCCATCCACTCCCACGGTGACATTCAGATGGTCCAGCCCCCTGTTCTCACGGATCTTATCCACCACGGCGGCCATGCCTGCGCCACACAGCTGCGCAGCCCTCCTGGACACGACCCCACACACGGTCTTCACGAGAATACTGTCGTCGCAGGTGCTGTTCAGCCCCAGCTGCTGGAGGATGGCTCGGACCTGGAGCAGCGCCAACCGGTCACTGCAGTGAACAACAGCCAGGGGGGTTGGATGGAGCGGGCCGAGAGCACCGGCCCAAATCAGAGTCCTCACCCCGAGGAGCCGTGGGGGGCACGGGTCCCCTTCAACACAACATTTGTTTTTTCAGTGCTCCTAGAAGCATGACGTGTTAAGGTGTAGACACTTGGCAAGTCAAGGCAAATAGAAACTGGAACGTTAAAATGAGCTATCCTCCCAGCACCCAGGAACAAGCATTGCCCCCTCCCGGCGGTCTTTGCAGTGAGTGCTGTGGTACGAGGGCTCGCAATCAGAATCATCCTCTATACCTACTTTCCTCTCCATTTGCTTCCTACTGGGTGTTGTGGCGGTTAGGTGCGACCCGGTCAGTCCCAACCCACTGGGCCCGACTGCACAGCAGAAGGAAACACTGCCTGTCCTGCGTCCTCCTCACCTTTGTTCCCAGACCTGAGCCCCGTGCTGCAGCCACTGTGTCCATCCATCTCCTGGCAGGCCTCCCTTTGTCACTGGCCCTCTCCACCTCCCACTGGGCAGGGCCCAGCAAGTCCCCGGCCTGCCTGACAGGGTGCCGTCTCAGCCCGTTCGCTGCTTTCTCTGGGGAAAGCCGAGGCAGGTTCCTTCCCGGGCAGGTCTCCGCCTCACTCGGGTCCCGCGTTCGCAGGGGTTGAGTATTCGATAAGAGCAGGCTTGGGAACCACCACCGTGGAGTGTTGTTCCGGAGTTCAGGAGAACTCTGATTGGTTCGGCCAATTTGGGGACACGTAAAGGGCCTGCCATCTTGTCTGCTAAAACAAAACAATGCGCCGATGGCGTTTCACGTGTTGACACCTCCGGGGCGGCTCCATCCTTTTCCCTTAGGGTACCATGCCGGGTCAGAGGCTTTCAACTCACTTGGCCAGGTGCCTTGAGGAACTTGAGGCACTAGCCTGCTAACCAGAAGGCTGGCGGTTCAAGCCCACTAGGGGTTTTCGGTTCCCATAAAGATTTACAGCCTCAACCCTCAGCAGCGGCTCTAGTCTGTCCCAGAAGGTTGCTATGAGCGGACGGCATGACAGCGGGCGCTGCCGTGGGGACAGTTGTCTCAATTCACTGTGTCGCAGAGTGTCCTGTGCTGAGCTCCTCGGACAGCTCCTCGGCTCTCCTTGGCCTGCACACCTCTGTCCACAGGAAATGACCACTCTGAAGAAACTTCTGACCATTTGATGGGAGAAGGGTGGCATTACACGAAGTTTAGGTTCCAGCTTGTAAGAATGACCTCCCATCTGAGCTTCCTACTGGGTCCTCAACCCTTTTTTCTCTGTCTGATTGAACCGAAAAGGATGGTGAGCGCGAGGACATCAATGGCACACACAGGATTGAGGGGAGGAGGGCAGCAGCAGCCTGCCGTTTGTGAGGGCTTCTACAGGACAGGCACTTTACACACGTCAGCTCACTTATTCCTCCCGACAACCAGATATGCACGTGTGGTTATCCCCAGCTAAAGACGAGGCCAAGAAAAATCAAGCAGCTCCCTTAAGGCACAAAGCCAGCAGGGCTGAGCAGGGTCCCAAATCTAGCCCAGAGCGACCAGCCACACCAAGGGTGTGCCCTGTGATCTGTCACCCATGATGCCAATGCTTTCCTCCGCAGGCCCTTTGTCTTTTACGTTTGATGGCCCTTTCTCCTTTTTCTAATGTACACATTAAAGAGCCCTGGTGGTGTAGTGGGTTACATGCTGGGCTGCTAACCACAAAGCCTGTAGTTCAAAGCCATCAGATGCACCTTGGGAGAAAGACCAGGCTGTCTACTTCCATAAAAAATCCACGGGGACAGTTCAAGTTTGTCCTAGAGGTCAGAACGGATTCAATGGCTGTTAAGTTTTTTAAATTAAATTTACAGGTACTTGCATGATAATGCGGCTAAATCAGGTTGTCGTGTTTATTTTATGATTTCTGTCTTTGCTGTTTAGGCTGATAGCTTCCCCACCCAGGGAGCAGCAATCTACTCCCTGCTAATTTCTTCTGTGGAGTCTAATGTATGGTTTCTGCTTTCTCCATTGGACTCTCTGCTCCATCTGGGTGGAAGATAGAGTGGAAGCAGGGGGTCATTCATGTCCTGACCACAGCTGCATGCACTTGGCATGGCCCCTGAGCTGATCCAGCCAGCCCCCCGCCTCACCCCCACCCCCAGTGCTGCCCCTCAGCCCAGGCCTCCCAGCGGGAGTTTCTGCCCTTCATTCTGCTGCTGGCCCTGACCGAGAGATACCAGCTTCGGTTCACTATCATCTGCGCCTTTCTCATTCTGTGTTGTGGGCTCTCACTGCGTACCCCCTACAGAGACCTTGCCCAGCCCTCCGCCGATACGGTGCCTCCTGAACAGGAAGGTGGTGCGGGCTTCCCAGGGGCCCTGTGCTTGCCGCCCACTCTCAGCTCGCCTTGGCCGATGGCAGAGCAGCGGCGGAATGTCCAATCTGAATGAGCATGACTGGAGGGGACAGAAGTGACTTTCACCAGGCGAGTGCTGGGTGGCCAGGCCTGGCCCCAAAGGTGCCTCTCTGGTGGTTGGGGGTGGGGGTAGGGGTGGGACTAGGCAGTGGTTCTGGCTTCTGTCCGACTCAATGACCCTCCAACACACATATCTAAATATTTCTAACGCTCCTTTTCCGAGGCTGCTCGGTGCAGCCAAGCCGGTGTTGACACAGCGCCCCCGTGTGGCAGAGGGTGGATTCCACAGCGTTTTCTAGGTTGAAGCTGATCATGGGGTCTCTCCCAGAGTAGCCGGGTGGGGTCCAAGCTGGGTGCTTGACCCTGTGTGCTAGCAGGCTCCTTTAATGTCCCTTTACTTTCCTAGAATGGAGTGCATGTAACCACCTTGCACTCTCCAACGAGTCAGGGCCTGACAACTCCCTCACAAAGCCCCACCACCCCATCGGGAAGCTCGGGCAGGGTGGGCCGCTCACCTCTCGATCTGAGAGAGAAACTTGGTCTCAAAGATGCCCCTCGTCTTCAGGGTCTCCGAGATCTGCCCGCGGAAGAGAAAGCCCTTCTTGGTGAAGTCGATCAGGATGTTGCGCACGATCTCGCCCAGGTACAGGCCACTGATCATCTTCTCAAACCTGAAACCCAAGGCCAGAGGGTGTCTGTGAGGGCCGGCTTGCGCTGCCAGCCCCTCGGCCTCCAGGGACCCAGGTCTCCTCCTCTCCCGCCAGATGGGGAAGAACTGGGAGACCCGCAGCCCTTCCGCCCACCCCAAACCAGAAGCAAATCCAAGCCCAAGGCTGGCCAGTCTCCCTCCTCACCAGACTTCCTGACCCACACCTGGCTAGACCCCACGCCAGCTCCTCAGCTCCAGGGTCACTTCCCCAAAGGGGCCACCCCACCCTGGGTCACACCTCCCTAAAACCCTGTCCTTCTTGGCCTTCACAACACCCGGGCCCACTGCCTCTCTTTTCTACAACTCAGAAAACCGCACAACACAGGGCCGAGAGTCTAGTTCAGCTGTGAATTCCCCAGGGTCCCCACAGATCCCAGTAAATGCACAATGATTGCTGCAGTGTAAGCAGACAAACAGGCTGCCTCTTCCAGGGGACAAGAAATGGGAGTGGGTTGAGGGGAAGCAGAGAGGGAGGGGAGGAAGTAATCTCAGATGTCTGGAAGGTTTTTACAAAAACCCGGAGTTCTGGAAAAGACATGGCAGGGGGACAGGACCAAGCTGGCTGGAGAACTCCGTAGCCAAAGCACACCTGCGGCCATCCTGTTCTTGGAGCTTTCCCTTTCCTGACAGTTAGATGTTTCCGGGGCGTGCACCCAAGCCCAGTGTCCAGACAGCAGCCAGACCCCACTGCTGCTCACGGAAAAGCATGGCAGGACAGGGCATCCGGGTAGCCCTGCTCAGCCCGCCTGGCTGCACCCGGAAGCTGCAGCGTGGAGCTGATAGGCCTTCTGTCTCCCCGAGCCCTGTTCCTCTCCCTTTTCTCAGCCAGGGGTCTTAGTTTAGCGTCTGGGGTAGGCAATCGCATCTCGGCAGAATTAATCACACCGTTGGTTCCTCGGCATATTGGTAACGCTGTGAGCTGGGCATTGGGCCACTAACCACAAGGTTGGTGGCTGAAACCCACAAAAGTCACTCCTCAGAAGAAACATAAGGCTGTGATTCGATAAAGCTGTGCAGTCTGGGAAACCCGATAGAGCAGCGGTTCTCAACCTGTGGGTGGCGACCCCTCTGGGGGCCGAATGACCCTTTCATAGGGGTCACCTGATTCATAACAGTAGCAAAATGACAGTGACGAAGTAGCAACGAGACTAATTTTATGTGTGTGGGGGTCACCACCACATGAGGAGCTGTATGGAAGGGTCGCAGCACGAGGAAGGTAGAGAACCGCGGCTCCAGAGGGTCACTGTGAGTCAGAGCAGTGGGTTTCAGTTGCTGGGCCTTCACTATATTCATTTTACGGTTTCCATCTATTTATGGTAATATTTCCCTCATTAAATTTAAATAAAGACTACCAACTTACTTGAAGAACAACAGCAGATGAATAAGCAGCATGGGGGTGGGGGTTGAAAAAGGCACAGATCGTGAGGTGGCTGGCAAACAACGTAAGTTTGCACGGTGCTGAGGGTGGGTTGGGGGGCAGGGGAGGGAAAGCTTGTACCGGTACACAGGTGGTGGTGTGATTCTGAAGGCCCAAGGAGGTCTGAGAGCCTATGGGCACAGCATGAGACCTGCACTGCAAAACTCCAAACAGCCACTAGATGGCAGAGGAGGCTCACCAGGAAGGATGACCTGGGAAAGGGGCGCAGCTGTGATCCAGGTTGGCACTCCCAGGTCTTACCCCCACCTACCTCCTCATTCTACCTGAGGAGCTCAAACAACTCAAACTCACTAGTAGTGACACTGCAGGTCAGGGCAGAATAGCCCCTGTGGGTTTCCAAGACTTTAATTCTTTACAAGAGTAGAAAGCCTCATCTCTCGCACACACAAAAACAAAAACAAAACCAATTTAAAAACCTCCTGATCAAGAGGTTTCTATTTCAAAGATTAAGAAACAGCAAAGACAGAGCCAAACCTAGTCGTGCAGGATAAAAAAGGTGTCTGAGGGAAGCGGTGTATTCACAGGCACACTGGTCTCTGGGCATTTTCCTATGGCCAGAGTGCCGCTCACCCACATCGGCTACCATGCAGGGGCCGGCCTCACGGTTCTTGTCAGTCCTCGGGCCAACAAGCCATGGCCAGGAGTGAAGCAAGGAGCCCCAGGGGCCAATCTCCAAGACTACGCACACCCCATTCCCACTAGAGGCTTCTTCAACCCCGACAGACAAAATGAACACTCCCCACAGACTGCCGCTGACCCCCCCCTCATGCATCTCCTCCGCCAGACAGAATTACCTTTGCTTTCCCGAGTTTAGGGAATATTCATCCACCAGTTTATCATATATCGTTCTAATATCATCCAGACACCCGTTGTCCCCGAAGGCCCCCCATTCCATGTTGATACACATCCGCCCGCTGGTCCCGGGCACCATCTCAATATTCTTCATTTCCTCCATGTAGCATGCGTTGCTGCCGGTTCCTAAAACACAGAGGAGGGAGCTCACGGGCCGGACCTCCGAGTGTGGGGAGACCTGTGGCCGGGCCGGGAGCCTGGAAGGCCACTGACAGGGACTCATTGTTCAAAAACAGCTTTTTACTTTTGAGAACAAATTTTAGGTTGGGGGGGGGGTACACTAAGTATAGTTCGCATACCCCTGCTCCCCCATCATTACTCCTATTATTATGATTTAATATGCCTTTTATTTAATGCTTATTTCTCCTATTATTCACATCTCACATTTTGGCATATTTGTTATGATTCATGAACCACTGTTGCAGATTGTTATTATATGAACTGAGGTCCACAGTCCACACAGCAGGGTTCACCCTGGGATGAACAGTCACCGATTGTCACGGAGCTATCGACCATTATGGTAACACAAAAAATACTTACATTGTCCCCAAATGCCCTGTGCTCCACCCACTTCCTTAAACCCCTGGCAACCACTCCTAGCTCTGTAGTGTTGCCTACTCCTGCCCGGGTGTCATATCATTGGAATCACGCAGTAAGGAGCTTCCTCAGACCGGCTTGGTTTCCCTGAGCAATCAATACTTAAGGATCTCCAGGTCTGTCTGTGCCCTGAATGCTCATTTCCTTCTGTTGCCGAACATCCTCCTCTGTTGGTACGGCTGTATCGGTCTATCCGTTCACCCACCACTTAGGTATGTATGTGTAGAAGCGTGTACGTATGTATATAGATCTGTGTGTATACACATACAGAGACATCAATATTCGGGCTTGTCTACGATTGTGGAGCAAACGGTTGAGTGCTTGGCGCGGGTGTAAACGTGGGCAGTTCAAACAGGATCAGAGCTTCTCTTCTGCTCTGGAGGGCTCTGGAAGGCAGGGAAAGCCGCAATGCATCTGCAGAGTCCTCCCGGGGACTGAGCCTCCGCTGACTTCTTTCTGCTCATTAACCGGAAATGCAAACAGGCTTGCCCTCAGGCAGAGGGCACAAGAAACCGGATGACCTTCCCCCTCGAAAGAGCCCAGGGAGGGGCAGTCTCTGGGAGGCATGCCCGAGTGTGTCCTTGAAGGAGGCTGCCACACAGAGGTCATCCGGTCAGGAGTCAAATGCGGCACCTGCCTTGGCTAGACCACCCCTGGGTCGTGGACCAGCCTCGTGAGCTCTTGGCTGGAAGGCAGTGCGTGTCTCCCCCGCTGGCCCGCACTGGTCTAGGATCGGCCTGATCAAGCAGGCCCATGTCCCTTTCTGTCCCGCCCAGCTCTTTCTCAGTCTTTGAATCTCTGAAAACCCCTGGATGTTGTTAAGACCTCCAGCCCGTGGGCTGTCTCACTCAGCGGTGGTGCCCTTGGCTTTTCCTTAATAAACGGTTCCCCTGAAGTTGAATGTGAGATTTGGGATCACTTTTGTACCCGACAGCAAATGTACTCCAAGGTGCCTCAGAAGAGCGCGTGGCTATTTGAGTCTGCAGAGTGAACGCTCCCCAAACCTTGCCGCTCTACTCCGGGCCACACAGGCCGCCAGGAGGGGGCTCAGCTGGACAGCGTGATTTCTTCCCAGCCGCTTCATCGGTCCAGTCCACGCAGCCACGCACTGGACCTGGTCAGCCGCTCCCCTGCCGGTTTCCCAATGAGCCTGCAGTTGTTTCGGAAGTTCAGCACACCTGAGCACAGGGGGGCCTTTCTCAGGCAGCAACAGGTCCTGTTTTGGGCAACAAAGTCCTCTAAACTCTGAAGCGTCTCCCAAGAGAAGCAAACGTTTGTGAGGGTGTGCCTCCACCGGGCACATACAGGCTGGCACGCGTTGTCCAGGGGTTCAGGACCCCTCTGGTTTTTATTCCCCAAGCCCCAAGAGCAAGGCTCCTCTCGGAGGGGGTGCTGGGCTGTGTCGGACCCAGGAGGAGGTCTGTAGGGACACTTGAGAAGTGTCTGGAACATTCTATATTAGTTTTAATTGCCATCCATATCCAAGCTTTGTGATCAGACTTGGCTCACTGAATGGTTGGAAAGTAAGCTAACCAACTAAACTAGGGGTCTTGGTATTTCCACACGAATCACCTGCAGAAGCAGAGTTTCATGGGGGGGTGGGGTGGGGTGTGTGTGTGTGTGTGTGTGTGTTAAGGAAATGGGTGCAGCCATCTGAGGCCTGGGCTGGAGGTCTCAGGAGGTCTGGGGTGTGGCCAGGTGATGTCCATGCCCGGCCACGCTGGGTGTGCAAGCCCCCCAGGGCACTGCTGACCCACCCCAGGTGGGAGACAGATTTCCATCTTTCATTGAGGGGCACAAGCATGCTCCCCCCATCTGGGGTGTGTGTGTGTGTTTCACTGTCCTTGAAAAACTCAGAATTCAATGGCACCTGGGTGGGTGGAACGGGGCTGTTCACTTTTTGTTCTCAGGCTCCTCTTCGCTCTCAGTATAAAGCAGACGAGGGTCTCCAGAAACGGAGGGGAAGCAAGGCAGGCGGCCCCGTCCATCTCCCCGCCTGTCAACAGGGCTGGCCTCCTACTCCGGCTGCTAGCCGGCACAGCAGGAGAAAGTGCTGTGTCACCCTGGCTTTGCATTTCAGGCCTGAGCCTGTGCAGGGGAGGGGCTGGGCGGAGTCTCGTTTGCAAAACAAAAGATGAAATGCACTCGCCCGCCCCCCTTGGGATCTCGGAGCCAGACGTGTCTCCGGAAGAGCACCAGTGACCACTCCCTCCTAGCTGCTTAGCCAGCGTGACTCTGTAAATTCCACAGCCAGCCGGGCTCCTGCTGGTGGGCCACCCAAACCAAACTCACTGCCATGGACTCGACGCTGGCTCACTGCGGCCCCTGTGGGGTTCGGAGACTGAAACTGGTCACAGCTTAGAAAGCCCACTCTTTCTCCCTTGGAGCTGCTGGTGGTTTGAACTGCTGACTGTGAGGTTCTCAGCTCAACGTGTAACCACTACACCACTTGGGCTCCCCTCTAAGGCTCCGAGAGCTGTTGCAATAGATTCACACCTCATCTGCTGCGATGGTTACCCTGTACTTTCCCTCCTGACAACCTGTCCCTTTCAAACCCTTTCCCTCCAGGGAAATGATCCCGCCACAGCCCAGTCGCCACCGACTGAAAGAACTGGGTCACGGGACAGTCACTGGAAAGACAGCCCCAGGTCGACTCGGACGTGGGAACGTGAGAAGGTCCAATAAAGCCATTTCTCCGTCAAAGAACCCTAACCACCCCGATGAGAACTCGGCGAAACAGCTGGCCTCTCCATTTATTTTGGGTGCAAATTTCCCCAGAGCTGGACTCCCCCCTGGCTGGATCACCCCCAGTAACGATTTCCCCTTCTGCTTTGTCACACAGTGGTGCTGAGTGAGCCCTGGGTGGGTGGGCAGGGTTTTTCTGGCCTGCCCTGGTCTTTTGGGCTCCTCCCCACCTCCTGACCCGCAGTAGGGCCTGCGGATATTGGCTGAGAAACCAGAGCCTTTCCCCAGCACCCTGTGACACCAAGAACAGGACCAACTGGACAAATCAAGGTGCCTCAGGAATTAGATGCTCTCTAGCCTCAGTCCCTGAATGCGTTCAAAATGCAGAAGAATGGCCTGCAGAGTGGACAAGCCCTAGCGGGCCCACATCACTGGCTGGGACCCCTAGCAGATAAAGGCTGTTCATGCACCATGGCACCCATTCTCAGTGACTTCAATTTGCAAGCGAGGGGGCCTCCCTCCACCAGAACTCAGCCTGCTGATGTCGCATTGGCTACCGAGGCAAGAGGAACCGGAAGTTGAAATTAGTGTCTCTGGTGCTTAGGAACCCTGTGGATTTCCCTCCAAGCTGAGTTTTTAATAACAAAATAAGCAGCTCCTGGCAGGGAAAATGCTGCCATGTAAATACGAGGTCCCTTTGGGGGAAGTCTGCTGAGTGGTTTCTCTCCCAGAGTCACGAGGCGCTGTCTCCCAGGATCTGCCCTCCCTGGCATCCACGGTTCCTTCGGAGCCCCCCCCACCCCCGCCCTTTTTTTTTTGCACTGACCAGATGCACTTCATACTAATAGGTTGCAACTTTTGCAGCCCTTAATTTGTGATGTTAAAACTAGACCTTCCTGACTTTTTCTGTCACTAGCTGAAGTATAAACTCAACAACGGTAGACTACACTGACATCAAATGAACGAAAGGCCTGGGCGCACTGTGCGGTGATCCAGGAAAAGGAGAAAAAGACAAATATGTACATGGTGAAGTGGCTGACTGTTGTACTGCACTACACTCTGTCCCTCCCTTTGCAGCTCTAAGCACGTCGTCGGGAGAGGACAGTCACGCACAAAGAGCCTTACTTACCCTGCTGGCCAGCCAGCTTCAGGTGCCCCTCTCCGGCCCCACTCACTCAGGCCACGTGATCCCTCCCTCTGGAACCTCCCTCCGGTGGAGAACAGTGTTTGGTAATCTGATCACAGAATCCCACCCACAAGTAACACACATTAGTATTCTCTCTCTCTCTCTCTCTCTCTCTCTCTCTCTCTCCCGCGCACTCACGCACGCATGCACGCGCGCTGAGTCAAAGCCCCCCAAGCAGGAAAGCTCGCCCTCCAGGACACCTACCCACGATGAGTCCGACCTCACAGGTGGGCTCCTCGTAGGCGCAGGTCATCATGGTGCCCACCGTGTCGTTGACCACGGCGACCACATCCACGTCAAATTCCTTGGGAAAGAAAGGAACTCGAGTTCAGGGCAGAGACAACGCTGCACGACAGGCCGAGAGCTACTGCAGCAGACCCTGAGTAGTGTTTTGAAACGCTCCTTCACCAACGCCTGCCTCTAACGATGTTTCCACCACTGAAGTCTAGGGCAGGGCAGTAGCCTACCCATTTTACAGATGGCGCCGAGTGCTAACCTGGCAGCCAGGAAGGAATCATGGAGTGAAGAGAAAGACAAACGACCGTGGGCCAGAGAGTTTCAGGTATTAACGTTCAATTTGAGCTTACAGTATTGACGTTTTCTCAGTGGGCAAAAGAGAAATAGCAAATCCATTTCTTGGAATGGGTTCTTCAGAGATGACCGTTGCTGGGGCACAAGGGTGCGTGGCAAGGCCCTGCAATGCAGCCTGGCTTGCAAGAGCCAGAGAGAGGCAGCGACCCAAGTGCTGGAAGCCCCGGTTCAGACACACAGTGCGAGCAGGAAGGAGTGCCGTTCGTCTCCAAGCGCGAGGGCCAAGAAAAAACGCATCATACGGAATGAAAAGAGCAAGCTGCAATACAATACAGATAATTCCTGTCTTTAAAAGCCAAAAGCAAATCAACAAAAACCTGCGTGTGTATGTGTGTGTCAAACAAGCCGGAAGAATACACATTAACATTAAATTTGAAAAGTGAGCCAGATGGACCAGCAGCATCTTTTGAGCGAAATCTAGCTGTTAGCTAGCGTGTCTTCCCAGGCTCTCTGAGGCTAAAACTACGCATGCCTTTTAGTGCTTTCATCTTAAAATGTTTCCAGTTGTAGAAAACAGAGCGATGTAACATTTACCTTCTCCACGGGGATGCAAATACATTTTGCCAGGTGGAGGTGTGATTGCTCCCCCATCAAGTCCTGTTTCAAACAGGCTCCTTTCAGCATCCTGTTGGCCTATATGTCTGCTCTTTGGACCGTTCTTTGATCTGACTTGTTTGGTTCTACTTCCTACTGCATCTCTCCTTAAGTAATGGGCTGGGTCAAACGTTGGCATTTTTTTCACATTATACTTTGCTAATATCCTCCTGCCAAAGACCACCAGAAACACAGGTGAAGCAAGGTGGGCCTGCAGATTCGTTGCACTGTGGGAGGACAACTCAAACTCACTGCAGACTCTGAGACCCTAAAGGACAGGGGAGAGCTGCCCCTCTGAGTTCCCGAGACTATAACTGTTTACTTGAGTCGAAAGCCCCGTCTTTCTCCCTTGGAGCAGCTGGTGGTTTTGAACTGCTGACCTTGAGAGTCATAGCCCAGCTCGTAACCACACCACCATGGATTTGGGCCCATATTGCTCTGGAGAAGGGGGGGTGCTCAGAGAAAGAGGGCTTTGCTCCGGCTTGGAGCTGTAGAGGGGCAGGGTAATGGTACATGATTGAGTGCCTTCGTTAACAGTCTCTGGAAGCCAGGGGATAAAGCCAGGCTCGAGCTGTCATTGGTAAGGCACCAGCAATCATTTGTATCAGCCAAGAGGGGTGTTTGTGCAGTGTTTGGTGTTCTTACACGATTATGGAGGGGTCTTCTTTTTGTCTTTGTCCATGTCTGGCGTGAAATTGCTGACAGTCAAGGGCAACACCCCAAGGACAGTGCCTAGCAACGCAGCCTAAAGGTGGGGCCAGGCCAGGCTGTTGGGGTTAATTTGTGTGCATCCAGGCTTGGGGTTCCTTTATAAATGATCTTGAACGAGATAACGGTTTACTGCTGGCAAGAGAGTGACGAACTGGAGGCCCTGATGACTCCAGGCACATGCGTGAACGTTCTGTAGCCAACAAGCACAATTTCTTTAGCGTCCCCTCCCCTAAAAAATAAAGATGGAAAAAAAAAAGATTTTACCTCTCTCCTTTTGACCGCGTCCCTCAGTAAGGTGGCTACATCGTGCCCCACACAGTCGGTCGCTTTAAAACCCTTTGTCCAGGTGATCAAAATACCCTGAAAAATGAAAGGCAAGTCAGGTGTCACCAGGCCTCCCGGGGGCAGCATGCAAAACCTCACCCGTCCGTCCTCAGCGGACACCTGCTGAGAGGCCTACACTGCTGCGCAAACTGAGAAAACCAATTGTCACCACCATCCACCGCCCCACCCCCACTGTCCCCACATGGGTCTGGTTACAAGCCCACTTCGTGGACAGAGAAACTGAGGTGTAGAAGGTCAGGGGATGTGCCCACGTTCACCCAGCAAGTGACAGGGCTATGCTGATTCTTGGTTCTTAGGATAACCGACCAGTTCCCCCACTGACAACACATGAAGGAATGTCCATTTTCAGTGGTGGACTCTTTAGGCTTGAACTTGGGGGGGCGGGGGTGGGTGGGGACACTCAGTGTGAGCCCACTACGATGAATAAAAGGTGACCATATAAGGCAGTGGTTCTCAACCTTCCTCATGCCGCAACCCTTTAATACAGTTCCTCGTGTTGTCAGAACCCCCCAACCATAACATTATTTTCGTTGCTACTTCATAACTGTAGTTTTGCTACTGTTATGAATCAGGCAACCATTGTGAAAGGGTCGTTGGACCCCCAAAGGGGTTGCGACCCACAGATTGAGAACCGCTGGTATAAGGTCACCCAGACCTGTGGAAATGGTGAAAAGCAGTTAGCCTGGATCCAGTGCCTGGGCTTTACGGGGGCGGGGGGGTTAAAGGAGAAAGCAGACTGGATTAACTGGCTTACAAAGGCAGGCCTGGCCTTCCGAAAATAGCCAATCACACGCCTTAAACCCTGGCCAAAGGCCCTGTGTGATCTGAAGCCACCTCCAGAGGCCACCTCCTGGACCTCCTCCTAGGCCACACCCTTCCTGTGACACACAGCAACCTGAGGTCTTTCCAACATGTCAGGATCTGTCTTGCCGCCATGCCTTTGCACAGTTGGTGTCCTACTGCCTGGAGTACTAGCAGCCCACCCTGCCCCACACACCTCAGCTCAACTTGCTGGGGGCAAGGGGGTGGGGTCTCCATTAGACTGTGAGTCCCTTCCGCTCTGTAGGCAGCACTTAGTACTCAACAGGGGCTCACGTGCTGATCTCAGACACTTTCACCCCACATGTTCTGCCTTTCCTGTCTCCCCAGACGGGACCCTGAGTGGTGAGTGGGGGGCAGACCCTTGCACGGGCAGCTTACAGCCCAGCAGAAAAGAAAGAGGAGGGTGCCAGCGAGAGGTAAGCAAGGCAACCTCAAAGGAGCAGGGAACACTGGCGAGGGGGGATGTTGATTTGTGGGGCCCGAAGGCTTCAGAGAGGTGCTGGCTTTTGATGACAAGGGAGAGAAGTCTTCAGACCCAGGGAGAGTATGAAATAAAGCCCAGGCCAACCCACTCTTCCGCCTGGGCCAGTCCCAGACACCCCTGGGTGACTTGGGGCTTGGCACTCGGTGCAGGGGCACTGCTGCCTGTCCAAGGCCGGGGGCAGAGGCACTTACCGCGTCCAAGCTCATCTGCTTGCAGGGGAACGAGAACGTGAAGCCCAGCGGCATTCTGGGGCCTTTGATCCCCATGTAGTCCAGGAAGTCAGAGATGCAGGAGACAATGTGGTCAAAGAGCTTTAGGAGAAAAGAAGGGATTACCCAGGAGCTCTCCCACAGTGCATGCAGACACACCTACACTCACATGCAAATGCATGCACATGTGCACACGCACAAACGTGCACTCACAGAGACACGTGTATGCTCACACATATGCACACACATAGCGCAAGCTCCCGTCCCTAGGATCTTTGCAGCCACCTGAGCTATAAACCAGGCAGCATGGCTGAAAGGTATGAAGCCCTGGGCCACAAGAGCGCAGTCGTGGTACCACATGGCGGCTTCGGGGGTCCACTCAGGTCACTAGGCAGGTGAGGGATGTCCACCCCTTGCCCTCACCCCTCCCCCCATAGTGTAAGTACTTCACTCACACGCACGCGCGCACACACACACACACACACACACACACACACACGCACACACGTGGTCCCCGGTGGCGCGGAGTTGCCTTACCTCCTCCCCGGTGCCCTGCATGATCTCCACGGGAATGGCGTAGATCTTGTTGTGCATTTCCACTGTTCTCCGCTTCCCGCTACGGATCTTCACCAGCAAGACACGGAAATTCGTGCCGCCCAGATCGAGGGCCAAGAAGTCACCGTTCTCTGTTGGAACCAAGATGGTGGAGAAGGTCAATGCAGCCGGGTGCCTCGGCAACCGCGGGTGGAAAGCCCAGCACTAAGTCTGAGGAGAAGCTGCGAGCGCCCCCGGGTGGGCACCACCCTGCTTACCTCCCCGCAGCAGGCAGCCCTGGCCTGCTGACCACCACTGAGCCCCTTTACCAAGGGTAGGATAGAGGCTTAGCAATGAACTTTCGTGTGACAAGGAGCCACTTATGTCAGGGTATGGACTGTCTGTCAAAAGGGCCACCACCACGACCTTCCTGCTCCTCGGCAGCTGGACACCTGCTTGAAGGTGCTGAGCACTGACCACAACTCACGGTGACCCCAGGCCCCCAGACGTGGACGGTCCAACTGCACTCCCCGGGGTCTACGGTGGCTGATTTTCCGGAAGGAGATCACCAGGTCTTTCTTCTGAAGTGCCTGCCCCTGGGTGGCCGCAAACCTCCCACCTGGCTGTTAGCAGCCAGGCCTGTTAACTGCTGCACCACCCGTGCCTTCTCCTCTCTTGCATCTGGGCAGGACTTGATATGCTTGGCCAACAGGGTGCCAGACATGAGCCGGGACACTCAACCAGCCGTCCAAGTGGCTTTGTCATCTCCACTCTCCCTCCCGGACCTTGCTGCCACTGTGTGAACACGCCTGGTGGCGAGGCAGATGGCCAGGCACCCCTGGGATCACAGACACAGAAGTGAGTCCAGCAGAGGTCAGCCAAGCCTGGGCCAGGTGAGCAGAAAAGTCCACAGACCCATACACTGACTCGTGAGCAGTTAGCAATGGAAGCCACAGAGTTTGAGGGAGGTTTATGATATACTCACCCACAACTCGCCCATCAGCCCTATTCCTGTCACCAACAATCACCACGCCAAGGACCCGCCAGAGAAGCCTTTCAGAGGCTCCAGTGGAAACGAGCCAGGCGAGCATCCTAGATTGGATCTTGTTCCCTTATCTGCCTCGGCATGCCAACCTCCAGACTGCTGTCTGCCTTGGGCACATGTTGGCAGGATTCTAGAAGGGGCTGGATTCAAGTCCTTCCTTGCTCTGGGTCCGAGCGTCAGGTGTCTGTCTTTTCACCAGTTTACCGTGTTTCTAAAAGGACCTACAGCCCTCTCAGTCCTGCAGGATTTGCTTGTCTTTTAAGAATACTTTCTCACTGGGTGCACACGGTTAACGTGCTCAGCTGCTAACAGTGAGGTTCATCCACCAGAAGTACAAGTTCAAGTCCACTTGGGAGAAAGGCCTGGAGCGCTGCTTCTGCAAACCCCGAGAGGGAAGACCTTGGTCTCCTCAGCTGGAGTGCATACAATAAATAGCACCTGGTCCTGGCTTCTGATTCCAGGCAGGGCTGGGAGACCCAACCAGGGCAAAACCAAAGCCAAGCTCACTGTCATCGAGCAGATGCCAACTCACAGCCACCCTACAGGACAGGGTAGAAAGGCCCCGGTGAGTTTCCGAGGCTGTAACTCTTTACAGGAGTAGAAAGTCCCATCTTTCTCCCACGGAGTGGCTGGTGGTTGTGAACGGCTGACCTCACGGATGGCAGCCCACCTCCTAACCATTAAGCCACCAGGGCTCCTAGCAATCAGGGCAAGTTAGTGGGGAGGGAATGGAATAGACTCGAGTTCGTTTCTAGCTCTTCCCCAAAGCATACATCCCAGGTGCAAATTCACCGCCCGAGAATCCAGCGGCCCCCCAACCATGGTGGTGGCCTCCTCACCAGACCCGTCCGGGGTGCTGCGGACAAAGGAGGGCAGCATTTTGACGGTGGCCTTGTCGTTTGTCTTCTTCTTCAGCCCAAACTCCATCTCCTCCAGCATCCGCTTCTTCACCACCATCAGCGTCTCCTTGGTGAGGCGGAAGCGGACCAGGGTCTCCTCGATCTGCCGGTGCTGCTCGGCCAGGCGGTAGGCCACGGCGGTCACCATGGCGGCGCCCTTGCCGCTGCCGCTCTCGGACAGCAGGAAGCGCACATCGGAGTCGGGCACCAGGCGCCGCAGGGTCTTGTGGAAACGCCGGGAATACCTGGAGGCGGGGCAAAGGGGGATGAGCCACGGACCGGAACCTCTGGTAGCCCTCTCCACACTTTTCCACACTAACTGACACATAGGCTGTAGGAGAGCTAGGGGACTCGGTAGGCTGGGAGACAGGAAACCACACATTAAACGCGAGGCTCATCATGCTACGAGTATGCTAAACACAGGAAATTCACAGTCCCCCACGCGGCAGGAAGATGATGTGGCAGAGGGACTGGCGGCAAGCCAGACCCTGGCCAAGTCAGGTGACCTTGAGCTTGTCACTTAACCTTGGAGTGAATGAGGCATGCAGGGGCTGGCTGGTCTTGACGGGGTGCGAACAAAATGAGTTAATTATAACTCTCAGATTCGTAACAGGCGCTGCGTACGTGCTCCATCAGTGATCGCTTGTCTTTTACTCTGACTCGGGCTGATCCGCCCTCCCCCAGGGTTGGGGCATTTTTTTGTGGACCTCCGGACAGACCTCAGTGGGACCCAGAACACACTCCCAAGTTTGTGGTCTGCTGGAAGTAGAGATGGCTGCTTGCCAGGGAAACAGGAAGTGAACCCCCAAATGTTAGCAATGGTGGACCCAGGGTGGGGGCAGGGGTGGTAAAGAATGCCGTCTAGCCTCTTTGGCATGGCTGGAGCTAGCTGTTGAATAGACATTACTTCTGAAACAAGAACTTAGGGAAGCTGCCTTTTTTTTTTTTTTTTTTAATGTGATGTGGCAAATCCCTGGGCCTTCTTGCCCCAGAATCCACAGATTACTCATAACTGAACGTCTCTTTAGCGCTCTCTGCCGCAACCTACCAGCCAGGTGCCCACTTAGAAGTGTTAAGAGCCAAGGCTCTGGAGGATCTGAATGGAAGTTTCGAACACAAGAAGGTGAGCATCGCCCTGTACCCTTGAACCTAACTCCCCTGAGGAGGGCGAGGGTCACTGGTGGTAAGTGGGCTACAGGAGCATTTACGCTACAGGCTCACTCCACCCAGCGGTCTGGCAGACACAGAACTTCCTGGAAAGACTGAAAGGACACAGGATGAGAGAGGCTGTGAGGCTCGGCCGAGGGCCACACCCTTCCCATACTTACTCAGTTTTGCAGCCAAGAGCAATTGTCACCGGCCTGAAAATTGACAGCGCTCTCCTCAGGCTCCTGGCCACACCTTACCAGTGATTTGGGCTGGTTCCCACCAACATACCCTCTGACCTTTCTGCCCAGTACAACGGACGGCCTTGTGCAAAAGTCTGACCTCTAGAGAGAGGCCGTAGCCCAGCAGGGTCCCAACCAAGGCAAAGGGCAGACTCACTGTGGGTGCGTCTTGTAAAGAGACCCGTCGACACCAACCGTGGTCCGCAGCCTGGGGGTGCCCTTGTTATCGCGAAGGCGGTTCAAGATGGCGCCCAAGGTGGCAGCCACCAGGTTGGCCGAGCGGAAGGAGACGATGGTGCACACGTGCTGCACTGCGATGCAGTCGTCCGAAGACGGCTCCACGCCCAGGCGGGTCAGGATCTCTTTGGCGTTGTGGAGGCCCTCTTTATTCCTGCCGGGTCAGAGGTCGACAGCGTGAGCGGAGGACGGCACCGGGCATGCAGAGCGTGCGCACCGATGGTGGGGGGACCATGACGGCCCGACCGAAGAGCGTGAGCAAGTCCTCTGAGCCAGCGGTCCTGGGCAGTAGGGAGGAGGACCACCGGGCACCACGCGGCTCAGTGCCCTCGAGGCTGAGGGCGCTGCCCCCTCTCGGGCCCTGTGAGCAACTTGAATCTACGCTTTCCGTGTCCTTTGTTAGAGTCACGGATTCTGGGATACTTTATAATTTTGTTTCCATGGGAGTCTATTCAAGCAACCACACAAAGAGGCTCCCCAACCCCGTGTGGGGAAATCCCATTCTCTGCTCAATCTGTCATCTGCATCGGCTTTTTGAAGCCCCTGCGTACACACACCCGTTCTCCTGTGGGTCCCAGGAAGGCTGGATGTTCACAGGAGGAAGCGGCTGGCAGTGTCTAGTTCCTCTTTTAAGAGTTTATGTGGTTTTACGATGCCCCCCAACTGCCCCCCTAACGTTTGTTAAGAGTTCTAGTAGAATAGACACAAACTAGGAACGCCATCTTGGTCCTGATTTTAACGGGAAGCCTTCAGGAATCTGCCCTTGGAAACCTGATTGGAAGGGCTAAAACCTTGCTCGCTGGGCCTGATCTGGTTTCCAACATTTCCTGTATTTTCTGCTTGTTCATATCGGGGGTATCTCAGAGGTGTTATGTCACTGGGGGCCACCCTCTTGAAGTTGTGCTTTGTGTTTTTCTGTTTTTCGGTAAATGAAACCCAG